GAGTATGGCTCCATAATCTTCTTTATGACGTAATGCACGACCGATGGCTTGATCGACAGCTCGAGATGCCTGCTGACCATACCATTGTTGACCATTTAATCCCTGAAAATACAAGATTATGAGTGAAATAGTACCTACATTTGTTCCTGACTCAGAAGAAGTTTATCAAACTATTGTGGTAGTGATGGTATAAACAATGATATATGACTTTGAGATTACAAGCACGATTTGAATTGATAGAGCTTCAGATAAAATTCTCAGCACAAAAGTTTCCTTATTTGAATACGGGCTAAATTGAATTATGGAGTCCGGAATTGCCACTTATCCTCGTTTCGTATAGGATTGTAAAGCCACAAAGCAATTTTAATAGTTTATTTCTTAAATAAATTATGATGATTAGAACCACTTTATAACCAACCTTAAATTCTCTTTTGTTTACCACCTCATCATCCGTTCAAGCATCAAATTTTATACAGTGAACGTGAAACACATACGGCAAAGCTGAATAGCTGCTTTTCTAAATACATCAGAAATAGCCTATTGCGCGCGAAATTGTTGCACACTTAAATATAGTCGAGTTAAAACACGAACTTTGGCTTTTGCCGTTAATAACGTCAAACTAAAGGCCGGTCTCTAATAATTGTGTTTAGTTTCGTTCAGAAAATAAAAAAAACAAAAAAACTTTACGGGGTCTACTTAAAAACGTCTCAAATTTATAAATCTCAACTTACTGAATACAAATATGCTTGTTGGCACCTCTGAAACTCTGCTGTTATTTTGTTCATCCATTACTTTTGGTTTGTTGTGGCACTCTGAGCAGGAACACACTTCTGTACATTTGAGTTCAGATTTTAAACAAGAGCATCTTTTGGTCTTACATCCCATCTTACATTCGCTCTGCACAAATTCTAGTGAGTCTGGAGCAGATGGTCGGGTCATTCATAAAACTTGTAATTGCCCATCTGATTCTAATTGCCATCCGTTGCCTACAGCAGGAGGAAGCAGCAACATTGGCGATAAACAACGATTCCAAAAAGCAGCTTGGTAGTTCGATCTTGCAATATGATGGTCTAGGCAGTCACTATTTGGTGGAAGGTCTTCATCAGAGCACTTGCCCGCTTTGAAAAGGTTGTACCTACACTCATCAACACTGTTTGAGACGTCATCGCCATATGGTAAGCATACAAATTTATTAAATAGTTTTACCAGGTCACCATCGATGGGCAGGTGACCACGCCTAGAGAATGCTGCACTAAATTCTAGATGTTCCATGAGAATCTTTCATGGTTTCAGCTTCCCTTTGCCAAGGAACGCACTTGTTGTGTCACACCTGCGTATACAAAAAATATTTTTTAAAAGCTCTCTTCGCTCATATCAATAAAGATAAAATACCTGAAAATGCGTGGAATCCCAGCAGGGATGTACGTAAGTCCTCTCCAAGTGAGTCTGAGATAACAGTAATATCTATAACACGAAATGTGTTCGCATTTCCTGTCATCAGGTAGAGCTTCTTGTCAATAGTTTTTTGCATTGCTACACAGAGTACAATTACATCAGTATTTGGCGACTTGATTCTAATGTGATTATGTGCGTCGGCTGCATGCCTTGAGTGAAGTAGTAGTCGTGTATCGGCTTCCTCGTGATCAGATGTAAGGTCTGCAACCTCTTTTCTTTGAATGGTATCGCTTTAGGATGGGCCAGAGAGAAGCAAATAACATTTGTCTGTTAAAGTTACGTAAAAGGACTCCAAACTCTTCATTAGGGACGAGCAGTAGGTACTCCAGTCAGTCCAGTGCTCGCGCAAAAACACGACCAATGACTCCTTATTGTCCCCACAGCTCAAGAACTTTTTCCATTGCTTTGGAATACTCTGGTCTTTACTGTAGATGTGAACTTTTTGAACACCCTGAGTTGCTCTTTTCACTCTCTCTGCGTTTTTGATACTTAATGTTGGAAAGCCCCGCTGTGGGTAGCTCCATATCTCGTATTTACACACACTTCGAGCTACTTTGTAAACTCATTCCTGTTTTTAAAAAACAAGGGAAGTTTGTCAGATTTTTCCCCCAAAATGACGCGGATATGGAGGACAAATATCATTTATGTGCAAATGAGGGAAAAAAGAGAAATTCTAGGTATTTTGTCTTGCTGCATGGAGGGCCAAATAAGAAGTCTTGCACAAATAGTGGCGACACACGAGGTATTAGCATGCATTGTTTTTCTAAAGATCCGTCAGCACGAAAACAGCGGGTCCGATTTGTTCGAGTACATCGGTCTGACTTCGAAGTATTTTATGTACTACCACACTGAAAAAAGGCTACATACTAGAAATCGACTTTATCATTTTGATCATATCTAGCCTCTTTTAACTCAATTTTGAATGACGAGGATCACTGATAAACTTCGTAATTGACTACCTCCTAAGGTGACATCGAAATATAATCTTAGAAACGACATTCTTTTTAACACTCCAAAATACCGTATACTAATAGATTTAGAGATACATTTATAATATCTAGTCTGATAAATTTATACGTAGTTGATATTTTTTACTTGTATGTACTAATTGTTATTGAAAAACCTGTAACGTTTAATAATGTTGTAAATAGTTGTTAGAATATCTTTTGTGTACATAATCATGCAATTCAGCCTTATGGCTGCTAGATGATTTTAACCGGTTTCAAGCCATCGCCATCGACATCCCTCGTTAATATCAACCATTATGTCGCCTCCCTGGTTCGCCTTCATAGGGCATGTACTGTATTGAGAATAGAATACATACTCGCTTGAATCGCTTGCATTTGAATTAGCGTCAGAATTACACTTTTGCGTAACCGAAATTATCTTTCGTACTAACTTACATTATTATCAATCCATTCTTTGAAGACGAACAAAACAATCGTATAACCTAACATTAGCATTGTTCACCATGAAAACCTAAGAAAAACTTAAATGAATTACATAACTGCAAATATTGCAGATGTATAAAGTTACGGGTATAACACAACGATTAACATGCATACAAACTCTAACAATTACATTGTTACGGTTGATTTCAATAGTTTTCGTTTTTTTTGAGACACCCTGTATAGCCTATAATATTATGTAGAATTAAAAGTCTCCAGTCTCATCTATAAGACCGGTGTCCCAGGAAATCCCCCCCCTAAAATTTGCCCCCCCCTGGCCATATTTCCTAGGAAATTTCCCCCCCCCGGGGGTAATATTTCCTAGGAAATATGAGAATCGCGAAGCTTCTTCTAAAAGCAAGATCGTAAAATAATGCTTGTTTGTATTCATACTTAGTTTGCTTCATTTATTTGTGTAAAAGCTTTTCATCTCAGCGAAGAGCTATGACTAATAATGGTTAATCAGTTTAAACGTCAGTACAATGAGTAAATCACAGTTAAAACATAGATTAAATAAAAATATATTGAAAATAAAGTGCCTCTAAGAAATTTTGCTAATGCATAACCTACCACTGGCGTAAAATCGTTCTTCTAGGTAAGTTGATAAGAGTTTTTATTTTCATGTCTGTCGTTTTAAGGACTTAAGGGCCTCTGAAGAACTTGGTGACAGACATGTCTCAAGGGCCCAATGAGTTTGGCTAATTGTCGTATGAAAATTCGTGCGTCTTGGGTAAAGTACTGTAGTGCACGTTTGTGCACGTATGTAAGAAAATTTCGGTATTAAGTCGCTGATCATCGTCGACTCGTAAAGTTTTCTGCTTTAAGACATATTATTTACATTAGATTTCTAGTAAGTTGCTCAGAATGATTGCTATAGGGAAAAATTGAAGAAGTTTAGAAAAATTCTCATTAAGCCGAATTTTTTTTAAAATAAAAAACGTGATTTTTCGTGTTATTAAAATATTTCGAATAACTCGTTCAAAAAAAAGGTTGTAAGAAAACGTTTAATAAAATGAAAATACGGGTAACCTAACTTGAGTAAAATGCGTGAATAATTAAAATGTCGGCTAAATTGAATCGGCATTTATATATATATATATATACAGCCCGAGGCCGAAGGCCTAGAGGGATGTCTATGAGACCGAGGGTAAGCGTTCTGAACAGTCCTTCAGTTTCTATCGCAAAAAATCTACTAGCTTAATCCAAGACACGGAAAGAGCTCACTAGACGAAATATAATTTAGCGGTTCAGCCCTTAGGTATACCAATTTGCTGTGATACCACAAAAACTTTCTGCCGGTATTCGATGATTTCATCTCAATGATTCACGTAAATTCTTTGACATGGTACCATTCTACAAACCACGTCATGAACTTGTAAAGAATAGTCTATTGATAAAGATTTCAACAGCGGCTGAGAAACAAGTTCAATCAACAATTTGTCATTTCTTGCCACTTCTTGAAAGACAACCACCTTGTACAGGGACTTTTTCATTACTGTAAACCAGTAGTTAGACCAGGTTTACACTATCAAATTTTCTGTGATCACAGTAGTAATTTTCAAACAACAAACCCCAAGTTTTAAAGGATTTATTGAAATTACTGGAGGGAACTGTAACACTAATTAACACTAACTTGTTAATATTCAGTACAAAATTTGGTATTCAGTATTAAAACTTTGGACCTAACGATGCAAAATTGCAACTGTGATCACAGAACTTTGACGCGTGCGGCGTGTAAACTGTAAACCGGGCCGTAGTAAAAGTCACGGTGAAAATCTACATGTTTTTCCTGTAGCAAGTCGATCTTGCTGTTACAAGTCTTGCATCTGTCCTGTTTATTATCGTGTAGTTGTCATATAACATTCCAGCCACTGTGTGTTCTTTGTATGTCTCTACACTGTATGCCCTTAGTTTTTGTATTATGTCACATGTTTGTGACAAAGTTAAATGAATGAATAGGTGTTGTTGATCTCACTTAAAGACCATAATTATTAACTCTTGGAAATATGATACTCCAAATATCCAAAAAGTATTCTCAATTAACAACGATGCCTTTTAAGATAAATGCTATCTGCAATTTTCGTCCACGACCTTACCCACGACGCACGACATTTTACCACGAAACGACAACCAGAAGTGGCAGGACAGAAAATCGAAAAGATGAAAGTTTATATCGGAATTGATGTTGGTGGCACAAATACTGACGCAGTCGTAATTTGTGATCGAAAAATTATCGCAAAAAGCAAACAACCTACGACATCTTCGATCACGGATGGCGTTAAAAAAGCCCTGAGTACCGTTCTTCAACAGTTATCTTACAACTTCAAAGGCGGAAGTATTCGAGTTTGTCGTGTTAATATTGGCACAACGCACTTTTTAAACGCCGTGTTACAACGCAAAAATTTGGCCGCCGTTGCAGTCGTAAGACTGTGTGGCCCAGCAACAAGAGCGCTGCCTCCGTTTTGTGATTTTCCAGACGATCTACGCACTGTTGTTGATGGCGGTTATTATTATATTGACGGTGGATACGAATTCAGCGGCGAGGAAATAAGGCCAATAAATCGCGATGAAGTGCGAGAAATTGTAACTCGCATAAAACAAACAGGTACGCACATATCAGTCGTATTAATGCCAAAATAATGTTTATGCAGAATAATCCTCAAAAATGCATAGAAATGCTAATCTTCGGTACTGTTGTTCCTTCAGGGTTGTGCTTAGACATACCTCAATGAATTATCACATGACTCTATAGTCTACATATATAAACAAACCATTATTAATTAACAACATGTTGTTCCAGGCTTTGTGGGTAACTTAACACTCTTAACATAAGCATGGTATGCCCAAAAAGCTTGGTCTGGCATCGCATGAAGATATTCTATGAATTACAAGCAATGATTGTATACAGGTTCTAAAAATCAATCTGATGTTAAATATGATAATCCTATTAATTGAATCTGCAACTGAATACCAATATTTACCCCCCCCCCCCTTTCACTACATACAAATATTTTACTTAGCAATTTTATATGGTAATGGCAATTATTGTAGCTATAGCTAGAACCCTCCATATGGATAAGCTCTGATGGTCAAGAATTAATTGCATGGTCTTCAATAGTGCTGATGCACAACTGAATGTTTTAATTTATATACACTTATAGGCAGTAAGAACATTGTGGTATCTGGAGTATTTTCTTCAATTTGTGAAGACCAAGAGGTTGCTGTTGGCGAGCTTATCAAAAGTGAATATCCTCAGGCAAGTCTTACCTTATCTCATCAGGTTGCCAACTTTGGACTTTTGGAGAGGGAGAATTCTTCAATTTTGAACGAAAGTTTAAAGCCATTGAGTAAAACAGCCATCGCAGCTTTCACTCAAGCAATTCAGGATGCTGGTCTCAACTGTCCAATATTTTTTACCCAGAATGATGGGACAATTATAAGGTAATTAAAAGAGTGTAGATTTCCATTTGATCACTCTTACACTTCCTCTCTTACACTTCATAAGATATAATGTCATTTTCCCAATCTCACTGAGCACTGCATGATCTGCAAGTCTGCAATCAAATGGAAGATTACACATATTCCCAAATGAATATATCTTTGAAATGGAAATTTAGTACCATATACATTTGTATATACATATTCAGTGCAATGAATAAGAGGATAGACTATTACACATATTGCAAATGAATATATCTTTCAAGTTTGAAATAAAAAGTTAGTTCTATATACATTAGAATATGGATTTGTCAAACTTGCACCGGCCATCACTCTGCAAATACAGTATTGTATACTCAATGCAAATAATAAAAGAATACACTATTACACATATATTGCCCAATGAATATATCTTTGAAACTTGAAATAGGAATTTAGTACTATATATATTTGTATATATTTATATGGACATTTGCCAAACTCACTCTGTAAGATTAAAGGATGATTATACAGCTTTAGAGTAATTGTCACTTAAAAATACAAGGCCTAAATTTCTTGATTACTGATATGCTACTGAGTTAAAAAGAAACATGTTCATATACAGACATATACAGGCATTCAAACAATGATGGGTTGTTGCAGTTAAAGTCACTAAATCCTCTTTGGAGCAAGTAGGATCCCTGCTGTGAGTCCTAGATATTATTCTAGGGATTATATTGCCAAGCAAAATTCCTAAACTGGGAGATTATTGCCAAGCAAAATTCCTAAACTGCGGAGTTTAGTTTAGGAATTTTGCTTATCAATATAATCCCAGAATAATATCTAGGACTCACTGCAGGGATCCTACTTGCTCCACTCATATATTCATGTTGATCTACCGCAGGAACAATAGCGTAGAGACGATTTTCAGTGATTTACCGTGATTGACTATCAGACTGCTCATGCAACCTCTAAAGCCCTAATTCCACGGGCTAAATTTTCAAGCGAAATGCGAAATATTTCGCCTGCTTCTTTTGAATTGTGAGCAATGAAGCAGAATTAATTTATTCAAGTGGTCGAAATTCAAAAGAAACAGGCGAAATATTTCGCATTTCGCCGAGAAAAAGCGCATGTGGAATTAGGCCCTAATGCGAAATTCTTGTTCAGTTAAACTCTCACGTAATTAACTTATGTATAGCCTACGGCTACACTGTAAAGAGTACCAATGGGTAGCTACATCAGATTCATTTATTGGACGTTTTTGTTAAAATAACTAAAAACCTTTTTAACCAATTTTTAGATTGTTTTTCCAAATAGAATTCATCAAAAAGTGATGAATAGCCAATTTAAAATTGGTCCTTTTAACAATTGTTTTCACATAAAGTGTGCTTCTTTATGTTATAGTGCGGAGAAAAGTTCTCAATTTCCAGTTTTGACATTCTCTTCTGGCCCGACGAACAGTATGCGTGGTGCTGCGTTCTTATCTGGAAACGAAGACGCCATTGTTGTTGATATAGGCGGTACCACTACAGATGTCGGCGTTTTGATGAACGGTTTTCCAAGACCTGCTTCGACCAGAGTGAGATGTGGTGGTGTTGTGACTAATTTTCGCATGCCCGATGTGTTTAGTTTCGCGCTTGGTGGTGGATCAATTGTTTCGGGTGAAAAACTGAAGGTAGGATCCTTCCTACAATTTTGGTATTCGTCCACAGTAAGTTTTAATGCAGAATGAAGCGAAGTGAAGTGAAAGTGGGGGTTGAAGTGAAGTGGAAGTGAAGTGAAATGAAGACTTCACTCAGTCATGATTGCTACTTAACATTTTTCACAGCCTAAAATTGGGCCTGAAAGTGTCGGTTATGAACTGCTAACAAAATCGTTGGTGTATGGTGGGACGACCTGCACAACAACTGACTTTGCAGTCGCTGCAGGGTTGTGTTGTATCGGAGACTCCAGTAAAGTGGCTCATCTTGATAGTTCCTCGGTTACAGCTGTTGTTGCTGCCATAAGGGAACTGTTGGAGGACAGTATTGACCAAGTCAAGGTACACAGCAATGTAATCTTAATGCCCTCCCGACAGTGCTTTTTGTTGAGGGTGATTTTGCTCCTTAGGTAAAAGCAGAAAGTCAGCCGGTGATTCTTGTCGGAGGTGGCAGTGTGCTCGTTGATGTCAGTAAGTCACTGGAAGGATCGTCAACTGTAGCGAAGCCGCAACATTTTGAGGTACGTTTTTAGTCGAATGTGCGATAGGAAAAGATAGCTCTTTTAAACTACCAACATCATCAGTTTATCGTGTATGCAAGATCAAATTTGTGTGTCCTGGACTTTTTGTTACAATCGAAAAAAAATCCTTCGTATATACAAAGGCGGTTTTCTACAAGATGAATTTCTCGAAAGAAGATTTTTTTCGGCTAATCCAATTATTAATTATGAGAATTCGACCGAATCTCTCATCATAGTGACGTTATGACTTAATCTTATAGGGTTGCTTTCACTGGGCTATACTAAAATTCCTTTAGGGAGTGCTCCTCGAATTTCAGTAACTTCGCCGCCATCTTTTTCAAGCAAAAAACACGGCGGACTTCGCCTTCTGCGCAGTGCGCAGAAGCTCTGCTAACGTCACATGGTCCTAAACATTGGTCCTAAATGGCCATGGTAGTTACCACTGGCCAGGCTCAAATCTGAGCCCGTTTCGAAAACATTCCCTCCTGGATTTTTGGGACTTCAATGTTTAGTACATATTGAGTCTTGTATTTCAGAAATTATAGTTGCTAAGTTACCAACTGGTGTAGGTTTTCTTTTACTGCAGTTACAATGATTTCATGTTCCAAAGGAACTTTCACAACGGGACTTATTCACTCTCAATTATAAATCCTGAATTATCCCCATTAAACAGCCCTTTTGGGGGAATGGTTTTAGAAATTAACAAAGGCTGTTATCGATTTGAGACACAATGTTTAGTCACTATTTGTATTCATTTATTTGAATAACTATTAAACCGTAAGAAAAAAAGGTTAAAATCAAGTCAATATGGCATAATCGATAATCAATGAGCAGCTCATGTGTATGATGCATTGCATTTTGCTCTAATTCAATATTTCAGAACAAAGGAATGAAAGGATGCAAGCCATCTCTTGCTTTTTTCCAATTGGCATCTTATTCCTGCAAAATAAGAGAATCGGATAAGTCTCACTGTACTATATAACACAGTGTAACATTGTAACTAATGCATTAGGTTCTAAAGTCTTGGTTCGATTCGGCACATGAAAAGTTCGACGTCTGAAACGGGCCTTAATTAAACCCTTAAATCGTTTGAAAGAAATCCCACTTTGAGTGCCACGAAATACTAACTGATTCACCCTCAGTTTTTTCGCTGTTTGCATTTTTCCATATCTGAAGGCCAAAATTAAGTGTTGAATTTGATTGTGGAATCGTTATATTATTTTTTTCAGGTTGCCAATGCTGTTGGTGCAGCATTAAGTCAGGTAAGTGGTGTAGTCGACCATGTTGTTGACATAACCAAAAAAACTCGTGAAAAGGCTTTGGAGGAAGCGCAATCTCTTGCCATCGCTAGAGCAATCGAGAACGGCGCCTTAGCTGAAACTGTCGAAATAGTAGAGAAATCTGAAAGTCAGTTAACGTACCTCAAAGGTGGAGCAGCTCGTGTCCAAGTCAAGGCTGTGGGAGATTTAGCTGCAGGTAAAAAAAAAAATTCTGTCTTTGTTGATTTTCTGCATACGTAATTTAAATTTCATAAATTTCTGTTTTTTAGACTCTGTTGATGATAACTTAAGTTCCGACCTGTTAGTGTGTTCTGGCGATACTGATTTCAAGCACGTTGCTGCAGAAGGCGATCCTGTCCAACCTCTTTTGGGAGACATAGTTGAGAAGGGAGAAGGTGCCAGTGCCGCACCATCTTCAAGCGCAGCTGATACCGATGTGAATCCGTTTATCGAATCTAGTGGGGCGTGGTTATTGAATGAGTTTGATGTTGATTGCATCGCAACAGGAGCGGGTATACTGGGTTGTGGTGGCGGTGGGAATCCCTATCTTGGAAAATTGAGCGCCACTTCGATATTAAAATCTGGAAAGGAAATTCGAGTGATTCATCCAGACAGGTATGAAGCTGTTGCACTAATATCTTATATAAAGATGTAATGATAACCCAAACGTTAGTGTATTTATGTTCTAAAATAATTCCTTCGAACAAGGTGGAATTTCGTTTTAAACTAGTTGGATAGTTCCAAACTGAACTAATGTACCTTTTTCCGGAAGTAGTCAAAATTTATGCTTACTGGTTGGGTAACTGAAAATGTAAACAACCTTGTGATTGGTTAAAACGAAACCTTCCTTGTTGTTCCTTGGTATAATTTTCCTGATATAGTTACATGCAGGTAATTAAAAAAATAAAGGTCGTGAAACGAATAAGCCGTTATAATCAGGGAGCAATGCTCCTATTCTGCTCATGCCTGATGACGTTTTCGCTCAATGTATATTTTTAATGTACCCATACTTATCTCTGCGTTAAATCAACTAATTATTTTTTTCTTTTTCGAGTTTACCAAAGAATGCCCTGATACTGCCAGTGGCTTTCATGGGAGCTCCATCGGTTGTGATTGAAAAATTAATTAGCGGTTGTGAACTGGAAACAGCCGCCGAAAAAGTGCAAGCTTTAGTCATTTCTGATGAAAAGGATGTCGAGGTTTCAACTTCAAAACGGGGAGTAAAGTACGTGAAGCACATGCCTGAGTTTAGTTCACAAGCGGTAAGAGACGTATGCTTAATTTAAAACCTGGGAGACTCAGTCACGCACGCTATTTAGCCTAGAAGGCTACAATTAGAAAACAAATAGTGCTCTCCCCTACAATTGAAAAAAAAATAGTGCTCTCCCCTCCTCTATTGCTCCTGATTCTGATTGTTTTTAGCACTGACAGGGGGGAGCGCTGTTACTAAGCGACGTCGAGTGCCCATATAAGTACCATCAAAATGTGGGAAATCCTGTTTCATATATATAACAGTCCTAAATAATATAGGGTATTAAAATTTCTTAACTTCGAGTGGTATTATACACACTTCAAATTCGAGCCAGGAACAGCAGTTGATGCAAAAATAAGTCAATTATCGGTCCTCCGGCAGGAATCGAACCTACGCTTTTGCGATGCCGCTACAATGCTCTTGCCACTGAGCTACAGAGGTAACTGACAAGATGGTAATGCTGGGAATAGGTGAGGGTAAATTGAGAAGAGAAAATTTAATTGATTTTGAAATTAATAAGACGTCTCCAGACAGTTTAGGTAAACTAAATAATTCAATATTTTGTTTTTGTCTTATCAAATCCGTACCAGGCTACTAATACGAATTCATGCATTTCTTGTTTGTTTCAAGCGCAAATAGGCTACATGCCTTATACCATATAATAAACACGCTTATCGAGCTCGGTCTGTACAAAAAGACCTTGGTCCGATATTTCTCGGAAAAGACCTCGCGCTCGGTTGATAAAAAGTTATTAATTTCGAGTAGAATTATACACACTTCAAATTCAAGCCAGGAACTGTTGAAGGAAAAATGAGTCATCTATAGGTTCGATTCCTGCCGAAGGACCTATAGTGGAAGTGACGCTTGCCATCATTTTTCCTTCGACAGTTCCTGGCTTGAATTTGAAGTGTCAAGTGTGTATAATTCCACTCAAAATTTAAGACCCTTTAAACCTCTAGAGTTTACCAACATCGAGTGAAGTGCCAAAAATCATAGTCGATTTACCCTTACCTATTAAAATTTCTATTTATTTCTCTCGATTCAGTATATATCTCGAAATTAAGTATATGTCTGCTTTTAAACGGGATGTGAATTAGGAATTCCCAAGGGGGAAAAAATGGTCCCAAGGGGGCTTTATTTTGGATGAAATTGAGCATATTATTTGCCTGGGGGTTCTTTTGCGAAAATTCTGTCCTGATTATAAGCTTACATTTAGAGCTGACGTGATCTTTTTGTCATCTGATGAAGCACCTGGTTATAAGAGAAGCTTGAGCATTTTTTCATTTGTTTTAAGATCCCGGCCGATAAGAAAATTGTTGCAGTCATGAGTGCGGAAATTGGTGGCATGAATTCGATCGAGCCTCTTATACTTGGAGCAAAACTTGGGTTACCTGTTGTGGATTGTGATGGCATGGGTCGGGCTTTTCCTGAGTTGGATATGTTTATTCCGTACATCCACGGTTTGCAGGCTTGTCCTTCCGCGATTGTTGGGTCCAGTACTTCATTTGATGCAATGACGTATGCCCCGACAGCAAAAGATCTGGAAAACGATTTAAGAGAGTTACTCGTAACGAAAATGGGGTAAGTTTCTCTGGGGTAAGTGTTAAGGTTATACCATGCATCATCACAGTTTTCGAAATCAGCCAATTTGTCATTTTGATCGAATTATTTTTAAAAGGGTTTCTTGGCAGAGCTAGTAAACAATGTATTCCATTTATATTTAGTAATAATAATAATATCACTAAATATAATCCAACTTTGCTGTTATTAAGGCATGGATTATAATCTCAACTTGGTCTTTCGTCAAGTATTTCCGGATTCTAGAGACGTTCCGCAAATGAAAGAACGATGATTTGCAAATTTGTTTGATATGCTCATCAAAAGAGAATGTTTCATCTAGCATGACACCAAGACTATAGTAGCAGTAACAACACAGGGAATCAATTCATCTCCAACTTTGATTTGATCAAGTAGAGGGCGTTGTTATTACAATATTTTAGTTTTTGTCTGGTGATGAATAGTTGTTTCTAGTTCAATACCTAGACAAATATAAATACGGCTAATTAAAAGTATTTCCATTTTTTTTATCATCGAGATTTCGAAGTTATCATGTTTTGAAACCAGCCGTTTTCTATATAGTTGGGTGTGCCTTTCACTGGTAACTATGGTAATAAAACCCACTGTTCTTTTTTCGCTCAGAATAACTTGCGTATCATGAAAACGTTTTGATCGAATTCAAATAAGTGAAAAGCAAGTGACTATTTTGTATAAGACAACCTTTAAGATAATAATTGAAAAGTAAATCAACTCAGTGTCTTCAAGAGGCGGAAGTTTTTATTGTGAAATCAAGCGACATGGCAACTATAGTGATGTACGATTACGTTTATAAGAAACGGAAATTAATAACTTCGTATTAACCGATCGCGAGGTCTTTACCGCGAAATATCGGACCGAGGTCTTTTTGAACAGACCGAGGTCAAAGAGCGAGGTTTATACAAGAAGATCGAGGTCCGATATTTCTCGTTAAAGACCGAGCAAGCGAGGTTAATAAAAGGTTTATTATATGGTATAAGGCATGTATTTACACTTGAAACAAACACGAAATGCATTAATTCGTGGTAGCCTGGTACGCATTTGATAAAAACAAAAACAAAATATTTAATTCTTTAGTTTTCCCAAACTGTCTGGAGACGTCTTATTAATTTCAAAAGCAATCAAATCTTCTCTTGAGCACTTATTTGTGCCTTTTTCATTCAGAATATCCCCGCTGAAATTGGGCCACTGAAAATTCGTCTCAGCCAATCACTGCACGAGCTCCATTTCACCGGAAGTGACGCTTGCCATATAATAATAACCAATATTATTGCTATATTTGTAGCTGCTTTGCAGGTCTAGCAGTTGCGCCACTAAAAGCTGAAGATCTACCGGAAAATACTGTTAGGTTCTCAATGAGTCGTGCATGGCGTCTTGGGAAAGCTGTAAAGCAGGCTCGGAGGGATAAGCGGTGTCCGATCGAAGCTGTTCTGGAAGCACAAAACGGAAAAATGCTCATATCTGGAAAGGTGAGCTAAATTGATCACGGCAAACTTATAAATAAATGCCCGTACTTTATATGCTTAAAAAGCTTAGCTTCGCTTGGCTTTTTTGTGATATTCATCGGGTGATAGAACAAGTTTTGCAATATTTAAATTAGTATGTGTTATATATACCTTAAATTTATGTGCTTTTTAATCGCAATGAAAAATTATATAAGCAAGAAACTTATATACGTGAGTTTTAAATTTTAAAAGGTGAGGGTGGGGGGGGGGGGGGGTGATCGGGGAGTGAAGACGTCAAATTGTTCTGGACCCAAGATAATGAAGGTAGATTTGCGAATTTGAATGACAGGTAAAAACTGTGCCCAGATACTCCCTCCTAAACTGATTTGGGTAAAGTTTGCCTTCTCGAAGTTCACCATTCTTATTTGTATAGTAGTATCTACTGGCCTTATTTTTAATGTCAGCTATATTTTTTCACCCATCGATTATATTGAAATGTATTCCTAACAATATTATATTTAAAAAATATAATATTTTTAGAAAATATTTTTAGAAATAATGAAGTACAAAAAGTAGTCTCCTCCATGCTGTAGCTATAGTCTCATCTTGGCAATTTTTCATGGATTCATCATTTTTTATCATATGACTCATCGTTATGACATTTCGTAGGTAGTTGATGTTGAAAGGAAAACGGATGGTGGATTTAATAAAGGGACAGTTCGTGTGGAAGGTCTATCTCAATATACTGGCTTATCCGCGCGCGTCTTTGTTCAAAATGAAAATATCATAGTAGAGAATATATCGTCTGGTGATAAGAAAGAAATATTAGCCACAGTCCCGGATCTTATTTCCATCCTTGATACGGAAACTGGCGAAAGCATACCTACCGAAGAAATACGTTATGGTCTTCGAGTTTCTGTTGTGGTTTTGCCCAGTCCGCCATTGCTTTGCAGTGAAAGAGCTCTAAAAGTTGTTGGACCTGAAGCCTTTGGCTATGCCGGTTATCGTTATCAACCGTGTCTAGCTTACGAGGAAACAGACCCCATTCCTTTAATACCCTGATTATACATGGATCTTTTTCCCATTAAGGATTGAAATTGACTCATTGAAATAGATAGGTGCATGTAATTTTATTAAGCTTTTAGCTTTTAGATTTTCAGACTTGCCTTGCACACTTCGAGCTGAAATCTTTAAAAATGTTAATTAAAACTGTTAAATTAAAGATTATTATCGATGATTAAACTATATGTCAGCATGGGTTGATTGCTTGATTAAATGGATCTAGGACACATAGTAATGACAGTAATTATGAATGTATAAGGATACATTATTGAAATCTTCGCTTTCGCAAATGCTTTTAGACTTGCCTCTGGAAATTTGAGGTGAAAAACAACAACTTTAGTAAATGCTGTAAAACAGTACCAAAGATTAAGTTATAGTATATATGGTTATTTAATGAAGGAATATATAGATTATTTAGTAGCTAGGTTTAATTAAACATAGAACACATATTGACAACAGTAAATTACTGAAATGATTATCCTCGGTAACGATTTTAAGATACAAATGTAATAGAATACAAATACACCTCTTCACGATGCGAGTTTGAGATTTCATTCATATACTGTATTAAATCAACATTGCGACTTCTTTTTAGCGATAATTCACTGGCCCATTTTAATTATCGTAATGCACTGTGCGTCGACATACCTCAAAGAAATAAAGTGGGTGGGTATAGACTATAGTTGGTTTTTTTTCCGAATGAAGGAAAACTGCGGAAGGAAAACTAAGCATAAGAGAAAACATACTCCGAAAATAAACATCTTGTAAACTCAAGATATGAGTTGTTAAAAAACAAGACACAATATTCAAGGTTGTTTTTTAACAACTCATATCTTGAGTTTACAAGATGTTTATTTTCGGAGTATGTTTTCTCTTATATTTCGCTAAATTGTCTGCTGGAAAAGGTTCTTAAAACTAAGCATGCAGTGACGGCTTTACGCAATTGATTTTGCACAAGAATCAAAGGAAATGGATGAGACAGGCCTAGCGCAAACATTTAAAAATATATACATACAATTACAAGTTCTTGGGTCCAACTATATATGTTTGCAAAACAACCAGTCAATCAGCAATGCAAAAACGATAGATTAACAGGTGGCCATGCATCACTGCACGCACATTCTTGAAGGTTGGCAAAGCTTGGGGTAGAATTTTTTTTGTCCTGGACCTAGAGCAAGATATAAATGAGCCAGGCCTAGCGCAAAAATTTAAAAATATAAAATTACAAGTTTTTGACCAGAATTATACGTTTGCAGAGAACCCAGTCAATCAGCTGCAGCAATGCAAAAAACAAACACCGTTCTCCATTATGTTGTAGATTAACAGGTGGCCATGCATCACTGCACGCACATTCTCGCAGGTTGGAAAAGCTTTGGGTGGATTTTTTTTATCGTCAACTTTTGAGGGAAATTTTATTCGCAGAAGGAATATATATCGTAGTATGTTCGTAAATACAATTATTTCATGCCCGATGTTACAATTTTTCGATGGCAGGCGCCTTTCCTTTGTCTTTGATCATACATTGACATAAATTATGAATTGTTGTCAGTCAACCATATGCATGTCCTAGTCAGATGATTTTTCATGCTGCATGCTGTAAAAATGAATTAATCTTTTAGTTAGGGTTTTTTTATTAATTTTTGTTAGGGCCTGTTTCAAACGTCGTATTTTGCATGCGTCGAATACAATTCCCATTAGATTCGACCCTAAAACAATAATCCGTCCGTCTTTTCAAGTGTCGCATGTCGCATGTGCTGAATTCAAATAGTTGCGGGCTCTATTCCTTATGATCAGCGATAAAAAATGTCATATTTAATTCTAGAAATCCCTTTCTTGCTATAATTTTTCTCATATTCTTGCCTAAATATATTGCACTTCATTCAATATCAAACTGCTTCCCAGCCGCATCCAGCAAGCCAGCCTTGGGGTTCTTCGTTTTGTTCGTGTACTGCGCAACGATTACAAACAGACGCGGTAGGCAACTGTATTTTGTTAACTTTCTTGTACACGTAACACAATACGATTGTTCTGGCTCATTTCTTTTGTCTACGGCCCGCATATTTCCATACGAGTGCCTCTCAATATCATAACATGCATGACGTTCTTTGCCTTTCTCTTCAAGCGAATTGAATTCGACACGTGCAAAATGCGACGTTTAAAACAGGCCTTCATCTGCATAAATTAAAATATCATGTAACATACATATTTTTCTTCTTCATATTAGTACTCAATTTCAAAAGTATAAAATGAAACGATAAATTATCAATTATGAATAGATTAAACTACAGAAAATACTGGCCGATAAATTATCAAGAAAGTTAGCTCACGAATAGATGAAATTACAGAAAATATATTATAGTCTATCAAGAAAGATAGCTCATGAATTTAACTTAAACTTATTATTATTATTATTATTATTATTATTTTCTAAAAGTAGATAAAAACTTCAGTTTCTACATAATATTTATACATGCAATAAAATACAGTGCGACAACTGTTATCAACGTTTGTCCTGTACACCTAGCTATATCTCTAATTATAATAAACTAATAAAAAAGTATAAAATATCAGTAGTACAATATAACAAATTAATTTATAGAGTTGAAATGTTCCTTCAAACTTTCCCTAAATTTTCCCAGAGTTCCCACAAATCTTAAATTTAATGGCAAGGCATTGTATAATTTTGCTCCACCAAAATAAAAACTTTGTTTCGCTACCTCTAGTTTTACCCAAGGTAATCTCAACATGCATGTTATTGTTATTTCTGGTTCTCTTCTCATGACTCATGATTGTAAAATACTCGTCAAATATTGGGTTGTGTAGTTCCTTCTCTAAACACTTCCTCACGAGCGGGCAAGATCTAGATTCGCTTCTGCTGACGTCAATGATGTTTGGTACACTTTTACCTATGACGCTTTTTGCGCGATTTTGAAGGGATGTTATCGCGCAAATAGCGTCATAGGTAAAAGTGTACCAAACATCATTGACGTCTTAAATCTCAACTAAATGGTTCTTCAACGTTCGCTCAACGTTTTTCCGCACATAAAGTCACAAACCAAAACTTGATGTAATATAAAATGTAATATATGCTGTTTAATATTCCGTTTACCGGCTAGCTTCTCCGCATAAGCAAAGATATCTTAACTCAAAATTTGGGTTATGAGACAAGACGCAATTATTCAATTAGTGATATTTCGATTCTATTTCAGCCGAGTCATTGTCGAACAAGCCTGCCATCATGTCTGGTGAAATTTTAGCTCTGTATACTTGGCAGTTATATTGTTTTGTTAAATGTGCATTATAGTGCATATACAGGTGGTCCGGGCGTCTCTGCACGTCATAATGTACAAATATATGCGTGGGTCGGTCACGATATGCCGAATGATTTAATGGACGGTCAATTTAAAACCCGTCTCAACTATCTATACTGTCAGTGTCAGAATGGCCGTCTTGCTGTACTTTTGTGTAATAGTTTTCATTTTGAAATTGCCTCAGTCAGGCAAATGCCTAACTGTGCAAGCCTTTTTTCGGATCCAAGATGGCAAATATTTGGCGAATCATGTCTTCGAAACAAAACACGCAGGAACTGCGTTAGAATGCAGTAGGCACTGCGTTGCTCATGGATCATGTGTGTCGGTTAACTACAAAACCTCTGGAGTCGGTAAAGGTCGATGTGAGCTCAACAACAAGACTCTTCAAGACACAACTGACGATCATGAAAATACGAGTAACTTTGAGTTCAAACACATTTCTGTTGTCAAAAAGGTAGGGTAAAAATTCTGAAAACGTACACTCTTCTGTTAGTAAATATCGATTCTTTTTTGTTTAACTGAGACTTTTCAGATCTATGAATTTTTATTCCTCTAAGGGCTGTTTTCCAGGCACTGTTGCGTTTTTTTTGTACCTAACTCACGTAAAAGCTTAAAATAATTTAAATGTACTATGTAATCAACGATTGAATAGATGCATATAAGATTGGATTCTGTTGATGATTTGGTGTGTTGTTTCTATGGGGCTCAAAATTAAATGGACAACAACTTGGGAGGTCCAAGCTTTTACGTGCGTGTACTTAAGTGCAAAAAACGCGACAGCTGAAACACATATCGTTCAGATGCCTTCCTTCTTGTTTCACGAATTGCCGAGTAACGATTGCTTTATTCCACAATCATAATAGCCTTTCTCAGGGGTGGATCTAGCACTAGTGCACTAATATTCATGACACAAGAAAACCACTCAAAATAGCTATTTTGTTTTCTAACAATTAAATAATACGAATTGCGCGTACGTAGCGAAATTTTGATTTGATTTAAAAACGAGGGCTAAATAGTACGTATAAGAACGCACTCCATACGCTCGAGTGAAAAGGCAAAAATCATTGGGAGTATGTGACCTAGTTTCGATGTTGCCGATCTCTTTGGGGGCCCCATGCACAACGCACACACACACACACCCACGTACGCACGCACGCACGCACGCACGCACGCACGCACGCACGCACGCACGCACGCACGCACGCACGCACGCACGCACGCACAAAGGTCTATATGAGAGTCACCTGTGTAGCAAGCACTGCTTGTTGTACGAAACAAATTCGTAGTGAATAAAATCATATAGTTAATTGGTAAAATATTAGGACAAATAGGAAAGGCAATCCGGCAAAAAAGGGCAATTTTTTATTCTCTCGTTCAGTACATAATATCTATTTCTAAAAACGAGAGTGCACATTAGCAATATTTTCTTTAGAAACTCCACAAATGCAATTTAAAGTATTTGTTTTGGAAAGAAAAATCGTATCAAAGACAATGTTAAGGACATACATTATTCTTCTTATAGTTTCCTCCGAAATCAAACCCACCAAGCAGCAAAGAAATAACAGGAGAAACTTCTACAGGTAAATTTTAGGAAACTATAGGTAAATCTTAAAGCTTAATAATTGAAGATAAAGCTGAGAAGAAGATGTTTATAGAAACCTTCAGCAAAATCATAATAGGCAGCCTTGCAAGCAATGTGGCATATTATATTATATATTATATTATATCGGTGTATTATAACTGATATATACTGGAATAATTGGGTTGGTATTTGGTGGAATAATTGGGTTGCGGGGGCACCCCTACTACCAATGACGTAACCTTACGAACCAACATCGTTTGCCTATATATAGCAAAATTGTGCCAGAAGCTATCGTTTGTGCCAAAAGCTAAAATCTGATATGTTGCATAAATGTCATAATTAAAATCACTCTTAATCGACATGCTGTTTAACAAAGAACGTTATTTTTGCAGGTGATTTGAATCATGATGAATCTTGCACGAGTTTGCGGAGAAAAAACCCTTCATCTGACAGTCGTGTGTATTTTATAAAACCAAAAGGGATTAACGTCTCGGTTCAAGTTTTTTGTGATATGACTTCAAAGAATGGTGTTGGTGTGACAGTGATTGGACACAACAGTGAAACGAGAACATATGTGACAGGTTATGGTCCTCCAGGTTCTTACCAGAGAAAGATAAGTTATGAAACTTCCATGGAAGCTATTGTTGCAATTATCAATCAGTCCAAGAATTGTGAGCAGTTCATAAAATACGAATGTCATCATAGCGTCTTTCGGTACGGCTCAAAAGGTACGTACTATAGTTGGTGGGTATCAAGACAAGGTGCAAAGATGAATTACTGGGGAGGAGCGGCAATCGATAGTGAAAAATGTGCCTGTGGAATGACCAACAGCTGTGCAGGTGGATACAAATGTAATTGTGACAAGAATGATGCAACATGGCGTGAAGACAGTGGATACCTGACAGACAAGAACACACTTCCTGTTACTGAACTGAGATTCGGAGATACTGCGACCTCTACAACGGAGAAGGGGTATCATACATTGGGAAAGTTGCTCTGTTGGGATTGATATCAAGCAGAAAACTACTAAAACTGGCATTAATATTTTCATTACCAGAAATTCAGGACATTAATTATCATAATGCCAGGATTTCGCAATCAAAGATGGCTGCCTTGTTATAATGGAATTATAGGAACGAAAAAAAATTTGAAATTAAAGCAACTTCTATCTTACATATTGCAGTTGCGGACTTCGATATAAAACGAGCAGTAACTCAGTACTTTTATGAATTTTTTTTACATATTTTTACATTACTTTTAACAGGTTCCCCAGTAACATCATTTCAGCAACTAACCATTATATCGCAAGTATATAATTATAATTGTTAGTTGTTAAATGACATTACTTGGGAACATGTTAAAAGGTAATATAGCTAAATATAAGAAAAAATTTTCATAAAAGTACTTAATTTCTGCCCGTCTTAAATTAAAGTCCGCAACTGCAATATGTAAGATAGAAGTTGCTTTAATCTCAAATTTTGTCTCGTGCCTTAAATATATAATTCTATATATTATGACGAGGCAGCCATCTTTGATTGCGAAATCCTGGCATTATGAACTTTTAATTAATGGCCTGAATTCCTGGTTATGTGTTTATTGTGACTGGACAATATGTTTTCGCATGCTCTTACTTATCTCCAGTTTGACGTCAATCTGTGACTCTCTCCTATATCCCTTTACAATTTAACATAGATCCTGCCGTGTACTGCTTGCAAACCTCATTCATAGAAACCTGTGAAGTGCAATGGAAGCGAAATATGAACAGTTTACATTGACTGCCAGAAAAAAACACATTATTAGCATGAAATGCATGAAAGAAAATTAAGAGCATAAAATGCATGCATCATTGAATACTGTAAATAATTTTGAGGAAAGTAATCCTCAAGCTAACTGATAATATTCTAACACAGGATAACGCAAGCATCTACTATAGTAATTAAAACACCCACGACGTCCATGTTAGATTGCACTTCCTGTAAAACTTCTATTTAATACGTCATCAGACATCAGGAATAGTTTAGTTCTTTTTCTTTCTTAAATGTATATTTAGTAGGTTATAGGGGGTGTGCACAACTATTGCACGCGGTATAATATTAGGATTTACTTTTTTGACACTGACTGGAAATTAATTTAATAAATTATTTAACATGCCTACTATGTTAGGCAATGTTCTATAGGGCAATAATATCGATTTCTCCACACATTTAAATATTAGAGCAGAGCCTCTCGGTCAGTTCACTTAATATTTTAAATATTTCATCATCATCATCATCTAGGCCTATTGCGCCAATGAGGCGCATATAGGGCCTGATTTTTTTATTTGTTTTTATTAATTATTTTAAATATTTGCCATTTTGCCTAACCTTTTTTTGCGTCATTAAAGATTTGTTAATGAATAGACATTAACTGCACGATACATGAGGTCTGTACTGTGAAATATCAGACTGGGAGTTTTTAGATATGCGCGGAACGACGAAGGAGCGAGGTACATGCAAAAACCTGGGTCTGATATTTCACAGTACAGACAGAACAAGCGAGGTCTGTTTATTATAATTATGGCTGAACTGCAATAGACACCTGGGATACTGGTCCAGATACGGAATATACGGGCCACGGTCCGGGAACGGAATATACAGACCGCTCGTCGACCAATCAGAATACAAGATTTTTAGAAGCTATATAATAAATATATGTCATTTACCTGCTGCGAGGTCCGGAGAGACGTGAAGCCGAGGGACGTTTTTGAGCCAGAGGAAATGTTTTTCTATCCGGACCGACGAAAACGGTAAATAACGTATTTATTTTTTTACAAAAAGCTGCGTTTAGTCGTATTATTATTGTGTAGTCAGATGCAGCAATGGCGACAAAAACATAAACAATCAAAACCTCATTTATTTAATTAATTTACTAAAATTCACTTCAATTTGTCGTGATAATAATTCTGTCCAAATATTTTAAAATAATTTTAAAATAAAAAAGTCAAAGGTTTGCGATCAGTCCGCTGGTTGTAAAATTAAAATTATCTTGACTTATGGTCTTTTAAGCTGTGTAAATTTTACAGGTCATCACGCGCTACAGTTTACCTAAAAACGACAGCTCAAACAAAATGCTTGTCACTAAAGCAAATACAACTCTCTAATTCTTCGCTAAAGCCGTCATGCTTGAAAGGAAAAGTAATTATTAATTGCAAATGGCCGAAATTTATATTTACCCATATATTTTTGTGGATGAAATCAATTACTTATCCACGTCATGCATGCAAAGTAATGTTCCTCTATTCCATTTTATAGACTTTTCTATTTTTATATAATTCTATTATGAATAATGTAGCTATAACTTATACAAGAAGTGTTGGGTAAAAAAAATATATAATCTTATTTTTCCTCATGAACTCCGTGTTATTAGCGCGTGGTCTGCATTTCGAATAATATATATCTATATACGCCCATGCATGATGATGAGAAGGTAATGTTGTAGGAATACTCGTTCATACTACGAGTTTCATACCAAATCAATTATATGCAGTGTGTCCATAATTGATTCATGCCAGCAATTTTTGACACGCGTAAATACTTTCGTAGCGTTTATATCTTGCATCTTTTTGTACACAAAATCTAAGAAAAAATTATTAAATATACTGCCATTTGTTTATTTTTCCTCACGCTGCGCCGTCCATGTGATTTAGGTGCGTTCTGGGTATATTGTCATATAATAATATGAAAAAGCAAAATGGAGGGTTTTACGCCTGCGTAGAAAGAGTGCTATCATCCTAAATTTCTAAACTTGACAATTGTTAGGGCTGGACTTTTCAAGGCGTCTGAAAATATTGCCATTATCATATTTCGAGTTTACATATAAGCGGTGATGCTGCACGAACAAATACAGTCACACCCATGCAGGTGGGTGTTTGACGGGCAATAAATATCTATGTCAAAGTTCTGTGTATTCAGTGTTACAATGGTCGTCTCACTATGCATTGGTGCGCTATTTTTCATCACAGGTTTCGTCAAGCAGGGAAAATGCTTAACCGTGCAAGCGTTTTTTCGCAACCGAAATGGCAAATACTTGGCGAATCATGTCATCGAAACAAAACACGCTGAAACTGAGTTAGAATGCAGTAGGTATTGCATTCGACATGGATCATGTTGGTCGGTTAATTTCAAAACCTCTGGAATCGGTAAAGGTCGATGTGAGCTCAACAACAAGACCCTTCAAGACACATCTGACAAGGAAAAAAGCATGGATAACCCGGAGTTCAAGCACATGTATGTAATCCAAAAGGTAAAAAAACATTTTTGTGGTACTGAAGGAGACTTATCTCTAGATCTCTCGAAGCAGAATTTTCATAGCTCTATACAACTGATACGCATATATAATCCCACAAAGGGATTACCCTTGTTATATGATTGGGGTCCTCGAGAAAGGTGGACATTTGGTCCCCACCATTCCAGTCCCCAAATTCGAGATTCGCCAGTCTTTGTGTGGTTTTGTCACTGTCGTGTAATATGTAGTCAGTATGTTGGACTATGAAACGATTTGCTTGACTATAGAGACCGTAGCTAAATACGTAAACACACTCGCTCAGGTGATGTCATGCATGAATACCCCAAAAGGATATGAAACAGTTTTTTAGACTTCATGATCACGATCAGTGGCGTATATAGCCACCCAACGATTCAGTCTCGCTATGTTAATATTTTAGTGTTTATTGACTTTGAAAACGATGAATTAATATATAAAAAAAGGAGTAATTATACTAACCTGATATTTGCATGGCAGGGCTAAATTGTTAGGCTGGGCTACGCTACTGCTTACGATTATTCCCTCAAATTATACATCTATATAATAATTATAGCCTTACTTGAGACATCTGTATAATATAGCCTCACTTCTATAGGCAGTGCAAAGTTCTCGGGTCGATCGTTTGAACACTTAGTATTCTTTAATTGCGGATTTTTTTTCACTATAATTTTTAGTTTACAATATCCAGTTTTCATTTCTTTTCAAGCATTTTACAATTGTTGAAAAAACCGCTCAAAAGCGCGATGCAGCTTTCATACAACCGGCGAGTGTTATCTGAGTAAATAATTTTTTCTTTTATCCTACGAGGATGTCATGAAATGCGTAACAAACTAAAATCAGGGACGTTCTACATGGGAGAATCAGCAAAGATTTATTGAATTTTTTCTCTCGTTTATGTTATTTTGACTGTAGCTGTGATGTTTAAAGTTGGAGTAACCGTATTTTAAGATATATTTAAAAAAAGGATACTTTTCAAATTTCATGCAGATTTTAACGACTCAAACCTTTTAAGAGAATCACTCAAATACTAATAATTATATAACCAGTAATTAACATGGGCTCCTAAAGACGCCTGCATGCTAATTTTTTATACACTCAGACACTGCAAATGAGAGGGGTCTGTTTTTCCGGACGACATTAGAGTTGTTGTCCAACTTATAACTTCTCCAGGTGGCATTTAATTTACTGAAATGTAATTTATACAAAAAAAATTTCTGATTAAGAAATTAATTAAAAGTGACAATCATAGAACCCAATGAATGGGAGATGCTTTGGAGAGGCAAATTTGGGAACAAAGAGTTGCATTCAGTATTTTCGCGACATGATTTTTCTTAATTCTTTTTATATAGTTACCTTTTAAACCATATCCAATAAGTAATCCCCTGATGTCGAGAAAAACTTCTACAGTAACTAAATATTTTATGCTGAGATGTTTTCCTTTTGTGTTTTGTTGTAAAGTCTCCTTTCGCGGTTAAAGTTGTAGCGGAAATGCACTTTACCCATGCACTAATAGACTTTCGTATAGCCAGAAGGACGGTCGCTAAAAGCTTAATTTGGGGGGGGGGGGTATATTCATAATTATATTCATGTTCCAACAACCGTATAGAAACAATAGCTAATAAAAGAAATCAGTCGGGCATAAAGGCGGATTTCAGTCACTGCAAAATGTCTGTCTAAGGGTAAAACGCGGAAGCGGAATAGCGAAGACGGAAAAGGGGTAAAACGCGGCAAAAAGCCTTGTCCTACGAATGGACCTGTATGAAACTCGATAGTAGAAATCTGTCCTTATTAGCAAAACTAATTAAAAGCTGCAAAGATTTCCTTTTTTGTCAACACTAATCTTTTTTAATAAAGATGACTGTATTTTTTGCAGGCATTTCACGTCACACCTACAAATCCTGCACCAGTTTACGAGCAGCAAATTCTTCAGCAAATAGCGGTATATATTCAATAAAACCTCAAAGTCTTGACTACTCGGTTCAAGTATTGTGTGATATGACACTAAAAGGACGTTCTGGTGTGACAGTGATTGGACATGATAGTGAATCGAGAACTCGTGTTAAGGGATATAACCCTGCTGGATCATACAAGAGAAAAATCACGTATGAAATTCCCATGGAATCGATTGTTGCCATTGCGAAGCAGTCAAAGCGTTGTGAACAATACATAAAATACGAATGTCATCATAGCGTGTTTAGGTTCAGCTCGAAAGGGTTATATTATGGATGGTGGGTATCACGTCAAGGTTCAAAGATGAATTACCGGGGTGGAGCGGCAGTCGACAGCGGAAAATGTGCCTGTGGAATGATCAACAGCTGTGCAGGTGGAAAAAAGTGTAATTGTGACATGAATGACAAAACATGGCGCGAAGACAGTGGATACCTGACAGACAAGACTGCACTTCCAGTAATTGAACTAAGATTTGGAGATACTTCTAATGGAACAAGTGAGGAAGGATATCATACATTGCGAAAGTTGCGCTGTTGGGGCTAAAATCAAGGAAAAGAACTATATCTATATTCTGGCGTGAACATACAAACTGACAAGATTAAAAAATTTTGCACTTGCACACTCTTTAGTAGACGTATATCGAAGAAGATAATAGACGAAGGTTGTCAGTGCTTTCAAGAGAAAACATTGCAATATACGACGAATATTCACAATGTTGTGTAGTAGTAAAGTAGAATGAATAGTGGAATGTATGTAATGTGCAATGTAACTATGAGCAATAGTATTGCTATATAAAATCTGAATAAACGTTCCAATTCCGTCGAAATTTGCTCAATTTGCCAGCTTTTACACTATATATAGGATAATATTTGATTCGCCGAGCACGAAAACATACTTTTAAAATCTGAAAACAGATTTCAAAATGAATCAAGAACCTTAAGAGTTCTGCCAGGTCATTTGGCATATGTAATGTAGTGGTCAAGAATTGATCCTATTACATATATGTATAACTAAAATTTTTCCATCCCGTTTTTGATCATAAGATTATTATTGTAACCATTATGGCGGCGTGTTGTTTTTACCAAAGTGATAGATTAAGAAATACGTTATTTCAACGAAAAATACTGTACCTGCGAAAAATTGTTAAATGATTTACAGTCTGCTTTCACTGCGGTTATCATCAATTCAATAATAGGGAGGTTAAGATCTACTTCCACCACCAGCACCAATACGAAAAGACATAACGAATTACTGTTTGGCAGCGCGGAAATTTTCCGTAACGTGTAAATAAACAGGACGGAGTATAGCGGCTATATAGCTACTCACATCAAAAACGTCAATCACAATCCTTAAGTCTCACCAAACAAAGCAGAAACATTATACAATTTTGAAAACTAAATAATATTATTAGAAAACTACCGCAGAAAATGACAATATTACAATAAATATGATTCGGTATTCGCCTACCTATCCACTTCCATTTTCATCCCCAAAATGGCACTCGCGACTTACAACGTTCATCACATTTTGGACGATTGTCACGTCTGCGCATGCGGTATCGTCTGCGCATGAGGCATATTGGTAACGGTACTCGTAGGCGGAAGTCGATCTTAACCTTCCTAATGCTGCCATGACGGATCTTAAGCTATAAGGCTTAGAGTGCGGTATTTTTGGCTTTTTAACGATGGAACGATGAAGTCAAAATTTAAAATATTTATGTTATTCAATCGTATTATTCAAATTAAAGATGCTTTAAGTGTCGTCGAGTAATCACCGGAAACATTAATTACAAATGAATGAATTTCACCTTGAAGAGTCAACTATGTTTAAACGAGTTTAAGCAAATGCAGAAAATGTACTTCTGCCAGACGACATTCTGTATATCTACTCATTACCAGAAATTTGCGACATGATAATTTGCATTTATACTAATTTGCATTTAACTTTCAGCATAATGGCCTTCAACTTTTACTATTAAATACATATAGTAAATACACAAAACCTTAAAATGTCGTTGCCCTAGACCTTGCCCACTGTTTGCCGACCTCTGGGTCAATAGAATAGCAGTTTCCCAACGTTTTAATGATCGAATTACTTACCTTAGGTATTTCTACGTTCGGCCAACTGATTGTGAACAAATGTGTATATAGCCTTCGTATTGTTCAAGTTCCTGATAAGACTGATAATATTTTTTAAAGTGATTGCAGTGAAAATCCGAGCCGTACAGAAAAGTTTATACACAAATACGAAAGACATTATCTTTAACAACTTTTTTTGGTATATTATACGTCAATTCATCAACTACCTGAATCGAAATATTCGAATCAATATGAGCGATTTTATAAGTTCGTTGACAGAACACGGACAAAACTTTGAGCAATATATTTTTAAATTTGGCAGATTACAGAAATGCCCAAGCAAAAAAATTCGGCCACCAAAACGTTTCTAAACAGCTGCTTTACCGATCTAGAGGTCGGCAAACAGTATCTAGGTCAACGGCATTTTAAGTTTTGTATATATATATATTTTATAGTAAATGTAAATTATGCTGAAAGTTAAATGCAAATTAGTATACATGCAAATTATCATGTCGCAAATTTCTGGTAATGTCTTTAGAGACCTTACGTTGAGCCAGAAAATTGTTATTAAAATTTCATTTCAACCCGCTGGGAACTGAAAAAAAACAAATTACCTTTTCTTTATATGGTGAGTCCATTTCTGAAAAGTTTCCACTCCTACCGCCAGCAGTTTTTTTAAAAAATGCGTTTGAAGTTTCTCTCATTTCAAACTTTTCTGTCAATATTTACGCCATTTTGAATAATCGGCTAAAGTCATATCAAAATTATTTTCCATCCCTCAGAATACTGATTTACTCGACCCTAGTTCCCTCATTTTAGCTTGCGCTGCGTTTTGAAATATGTAAATGTTTTCTCAAAGTTTCGCGCGATTTTTTGTGTTTTGCTCGGGCGTTTTATCAAAAGAGATTTTAGAGTTCTACTGTAACTGAAAAGTCTTCCAAATTTACAGTTATTTCTAAGGTTCTACAAAGAGTCAGTAATTATAGACCTATCAAGGCGGTTTTGGCTCTAAACATAGGGCTGGTTTTTCTAAAAGGTTAATGCAATTCTGGTTTATGATACGTCTATATGTTTTTTATAATTTAGATCCGTTTCCCACCAAGGACTTTTTATGTGACGAATCTAATGTTAATAATTAAGCTAAACATTCGATTCGGCACATGAAAAGTTCGATTCGACGACGTCTGAAACCGGTTTTATTCATCGAATTAGGTATCATTTTTTAACATTATTAAAGATGAAGTTGTTTGAAGTTTATGGTACACTTTTTCACGAGAATTAAATCAAGGATATTAACTTCTCTTTATGTGAAAACTAATATGAACATTGGACGGACCAGTATTACTAATGAGTCCACATGAATGTGCACGCATATTTAATAACTTAGAAAAATTATATCAGTCTCATTGACTGATATCGCGTGCATTGCCACTAGTCAGCCACATGTGTTTACCTTTCATATTTTTGTGTTTTCAAAGCACTATTGTTTTTTTCAGTTCTACATATGAAGCTACATGCAATAATGCTTTTAACATAGCTACAATAATCCGTAACATAGTTAAGTTTAATAGTGAGCATTTAATGACGTTTTACTTGAATAACTTGTATACTTTAGCTGTATGATGTGTGCATTACAAATTTTTAACATACAGTCTTCGTACACTGGCCTAAATGTTCGTGTTTTGTTTACAAATGAACGCACTGGCGAACAAACAATGAACTCGAAATTTAAATTTTTGAAATTTCTCGTTCATTGTATGGTAAGCATTACTTGTGAAAAAATAACTGATGAGATCAATCAATAATATGTGTTTTATTATATAGCAAGTTTCAAAGGAAACAAGGGGTGAAAATACGCGACAAAAACGTAGGTAAACCTAACAGAGAAACTTTTCATTTTAAAAAGAATTCGGCTGAGGTTCAAAGGCCATATGTCGCTTACTATAACTCCTGCATGAGGCTGGTTATTCGAAAGCTGGTTAACGCTATCCCAGGGTTAAAAATGATTGCGGTAACTATTTGGATTTTCCGCCTTACACGTGACGTATTTTTAACCAATCAGATTCTGGAACAGATGAACGTTTATAACACGAGTGACAAATATTCACCTGAACACGACAAGTAAGCCGCGAAAGACCATTAAAGAATATTTTTAGATAAAAGCATAAACATACAAGTATATATAATAAATTTTACTCATATAAAGATGTCTTTTGTTGTATTTCCAACATCATGCAACGTCGTTATACATGCGAACCAAAGACCATTAATTTTTTATTAATTTTCACAACAACAACATTCTGAATTAAAATATGAGACAAAAAGGGGTTTTCAATATAAAATTATTTCAATTGGAAAGTGAAAAGTTTTTACCAGATGTGGCCAATTTTGTACGATAGATGTGGCCAATTTTATACGATCAAGTCATTTAGTAGTGGCCTGATGTGAAACGTCAGTCAACCAGAGTACTACCGAAATGTTCGGCACCAGTAAAAAATAAAAATAAAATATTGCAACACAATTAATTATTTTAGACTTAAAGTATCTAAATGCATGACCATGCTTTTAGCTGTGAATTTCAAAGAAAAATTTTAGAACTCACATATCTACTAACGGATTATTCCAAACTATTATAAAAATGTAGATATATTAAAAGCCCCGTTTATACTACATGCATTCGATTTGCATGCCCATGCGTTAAAAGTGCCGTGCCAATAAATTCAGTGTAGTGAAAATGGCGCTCAAATATTGACTGAAGTTTGCTGTTTTCTAGTATCTCGCTAACAAGCAACTCAAAACATAAAGAATACCAAGACAAAAATTTAGCTTTGCTGTCCGTTTTGGCATGTCCAACTTCTTTTCTCGAAAGCGTTTTGCCAAGTCAAATGGAATTTGGATCGTTACAAATGGCAGCAGAAAGATCCAACTGTAGCTGACAGCCATGAATGCAATTATGACATAAGGCGTGAAGATGAGGAAGAGATAGAAAATATGCGATCCTCGCTCTCCGAGTATTATAGCCAGTGTTATGATTCCGCTCTCTTTATCATCTTTCAAATCTCTGGCGTTGTTGCTATGGAGCATACCTTCCGTGATTAAGACCAGAGGGATTGTGTAATATGCAGGCGTAATTGAAAAAGTTCCGCACTGAGCTACATATGAAATCAGGACTGTCAAGGGGCCAAACGTTACGAGGATGACCACATCGCCAAACCCATGGTATTTTAAGGATAATCCGCCAGTGTAGAAAAATGAGAAAAATATGCCGCCACAAAAGAACCATATAAGTTGATCTACAGTAGCTGAAGATGCGGCCACAAGCGCTACAAAGCCAAGTGATCCCAGAACATAGCCGAAAGCGGCAAGGCCAATAACATCTTTCTGCGTCAAAACCTTTTCAACGAGTGTTTTGTCAGTTGCACCTTTGCTGTCGACTCCCTGGATGTAGTCGTAGTAAGTGTTGAC